CTGCTGGTCTTCCCTCTATTTATTTAATTTTTTAAACTGGTGCTGTATAGATATACAGAAAGGTGGAACTCACTGTGGTACAACATATACCTATATAGCATAATTTTGTCATTTCATTCTGCATTTCCTCCCTTTTCCAATCCCTCCTCCCTTCTCCTCAACCATCTTCCTCTACTCCATGATTTATCTTCCCTCTATTTTGGAGGGATCTGTCCCCCCACGCACCTTTTTCCTTACTTTGTTCTAGCTTCTTTTTATGAGAGAAAACATTTGGCCTTTGACTTTCTGAGTCTGGTTTATTTTACTCAGCATCATGTTCTTCAGTTCCTCCCATTTACCAGAAAATGGTGAAATTTCATTCTTGTTTATGGCTGAGTAAACTCCACTGTGTGTGTTAACACATTTTCTTTATCCATTCATCTGTTGACGGGTACCTGGGCTGTTCCATAATGGCTGTTGTGAGTTGTGCTGCTATGGACATTGATGTGCCTGTGTCACTTAAGGTGCATTTTAGTTCTTTGGAATACTACTGAGAAATGGATCTTGGTCAGATGGTGGTTCCATTCCTAGTCTTTTGAGGAACCTCCATACTGCTTTCCAGAGTGGTTGCCCTAATTTGCAGTCCCACCAACAGTGTATGAAAGTACCTTTTCCTCCACATCCCTACTAGCAATTATTATTTGTATTCTTGATGACTGCCATTGCAACTGGAGTGAGATGAATCATAATGTAGTTTTGATTTGCATTTCCTTGACTGTCAGGGATGTTGAACATCCTGAATTTTCATTTATTTGCTGGGCATTTATTTCTTCTTTTGATAAATGTCTGTTTGGCTCTTTTGCCCATTTACTGATTGGGTTGTCTTCTTGGTCTTAAGTTTTTTGAATTCTTTATGTACTCTGGATATTAATACCCTTTAATACTTTGTCAGAGAAGCAGCTGACAAAGATTTTCTCCCTTTTGTAGGCTCTCTCTTCCTTTCCTTTGTTACGCAGAAGGAAAAGATTAGGGGCTCATCCTGGAAAGGCTGGTGCAACCAAAGAACATAACCCTAGGGAGGAGGGGATTATTTTTCTATGCTCAGAGTTCAGGAAACATTGGCCATTAGAGATTTTCGGGTGCAGAAGCTGGGCATGGTAATAGTTTAGTGAAACAAACACATGAGTGTTTATAGCAGCACAATTCACAACAGCCGAGTTATGGAACCAACCCAGGTGCCTGTCAATTTGATGCCCACATTCTGATTCTTGGTTTCATTTCTTGAGCTTTAGGGGTCTTGTTAAGAAATTTGGTGTCTGTGTCAATATGATGGAGTATTGAGTCTATGTTTTCTTCTAGCAATCACAAGCTTTCTGGTCTAATTCCTAGGTCTTTCATCTACTCTGAGTTCTCTTTCTCATGCAGAGTGAGAGATGGGAATCTATCTTCATTCTTCTACACACCAATATCCAGTTTTTACAGCATCATCTGTTACAAAGGCTGTCTTTTCTCCAACATATATTTTGGGTTTACTTACCTTTGTTAAGTATTGGTGGATGTATTGATGTGGGTTTGTCTCTGTGTTTTCCATTCTATTCCATTGGTCTTCATGTCTATTTTGAAGTCAATACTATGCTGTGTTTGTTACTATATCTCTGTAGTATAATTTGAGATCAGGTATTGTAATGCTTCCCATGTTACTCTTCTTCTTCAGTATTGCCTGGGCTATTCTGGGTCTTTTATTCTTCCAAATGAGTTTTAAGACTGTTTTTATTCTAGTACTGTGAAGAATGACATTGGTATTTTGATGGGATATTGAATCTGTATAATACTTTTGGTAACATCCCAGACCTTTTAAACTTTGAGACAGGGTTTCACTAAGTTGCTGGGGGTCTTGCTAAATTGCTGAAGCTGGCCTCAAATTTGAGATCCTCCTGCCTTGGCCTCCCAAGCTGCTGAGATTACAGGTGTAGGTTACCCTCCTCCTTGCCACTAGGCCATTAATTAGAATTAAGTCACAAAATAACTTGGGTCTGACAATGTATTGGTTTGCTAGGGCTGAATGGCTGGGTGGCCTAACTGCATGAGGCCCTTCCTCAGGAGAGGAAGGATGGGCAGGTGAAGACAATGGTGTCCCCCACTTCCTTCTCCCCTGCTGTGGACATCAGCTGTATGCATAAGCAGGTTTGTAGGGACACACCAGGGCAGTGGCTTTAATATTATCTAATTACTACTGGAAAGACTTGCTTAAGATAAACCATTTTGACACAAAATTACTACTTTGGGTAGGCATCTTCTAATATGTAATTAATTTATAGTTAAGCAGTAGCAATCTTTCATGTGTTTCAAACCAGATTGAACTGGGTTCAAATCCTGGTCCAGTTCCTTACTAGTTGTGTGATCTTAGGTAGTAGTTCAACCTTCCTAAGTATCAGTTTCAAGAACATCATCACCTTCACAGGGTTGCTACAAAGATCACAGAAAATTTGCATGAAGCCAGGCATGATGGCACATAACTGAAATTCAGCTTCTTGGGAGGCCGAGGCAGGCAGATCACAAGCTCAAGACCAGCCTGGGCAACTTAGCAAGACTCTGTCTCAAAATAAAATAATTTTTAAAAAAGGGCTGGGGATGCATTTCAAGGGTAAAGCATTTACTGTGTATTTACAAAGCCCTGGGTTCAATCCCTAGCAACACACACACACACACACACACACACACCAATTTATATGTACTTAACATAACTTCAAATAACTTTTCGTATCTTAGCATGTAAAGTTACCTTGGAGTAATTTTCTTAACTAGTTTATCCTGGTAATAATTTTCTGGAGCTGATCTAATTTCTGAGTCAGAAGGTCTGAACAGTGCCTACATCATCTGCTCCTTAGCCATCTGCTCACCAGGCCTTCACTGACTTGTATGGATCTCCATACTTAGTACCCAAGAGTTATTGCTGAGGTGTCTCCTGCATACTGCACTTAGCCCCTTCAGATCCAGTGGCTTTTTCCAAAACAGCACTCTCATGTCAAGTTTGGAGGGGGCATGGCTAGGGGTTGGAGGGGATCAGGGAGCCTTCCTGCTACATCTGGGCCACACCTGGGCTCAACTCTCCTGCAAAAGCCTATTTTTAACCTGACCTACTTAAATGTATCACATGGTTATTTGACATGGAGTTCAAGCAGAGAACAGGGTTGCTTTGTTTTTAGGGTTCTCAGACCTACTTAGTGTCTTGCCACCTTTGTAGTACTGGCATTCAGAGCTCTAAAAATAATCTTTAAGAACTCTAAATTTGAGTTGTTTAATGACACATAAAGCTTTCAAGAGGGGCTGGGGTTGTGGCTCAGCGGTAGAGTGCTTGCCTAGCAGGCACTGAGTTCGATTCTCAACACCACATACAAATAAATAAAATAAAGGTCCATCAACAACTAAAAAATATATTTTTTTAAAGAGAGAGAGAGAGAGAGAATTTTTTTTTAATGTTTTTATTTTAGTTCTCGGCGGACACAACATCTTTGTACGTGGTGCTGAGGATCGAACCCGGGCCGCACGCATGCCAGGCGAGGGCGCTACCGCTTGAGCCACATCCACAGCCCATTAAAAAATATTTTTAAAAAAGATTTCAAGAAACACTTGTATTTGGGAATTCTTCATGTCCTGTGAAGTTGAATCAAAAACAGAATCATGTAAAATTACTCATCTAAGTTATCTTCTGTCTGAATATTTAAAAATTCCAAAAATAAAGCCCACAAAAAAGAGAGAACATATTAAAAGTGAAATAACTAAGTTTTGCTCATCACCAATCTCAGTAGGAAGTGAGTGTATGGAGGAGCAATGTGCTGCACGGTAATATCAGCAGCAAGATTGCAGCTGACAGACTTCTAGACTATTGTTCTTGTCTATAATGCCGAATTCCAAGATCTTGACTACCACCATTTACTTAAGAAAAGTTTAACAATAATTACATTAAAAATTCAGATTTGTTCTTATATTCCAGAATTTCATATTTACAATGGTGATATTTTGCTTGGGCCATAGGCCAAATATTCATTTTAAAACTAAGCTGTTGGGCTAGGGATGTGGCTCAAGCGGTAGCGCGCTCGCCTGGCATGCATGCGGCCCAGGTTCGATCCTCAGCACCATATACAAAGATGTTGTGTCCGCCGAAAACTAAAAAAAATTGAAAAAAAAAAATAAAAAAAAATAAATAGCAGAAGGATTGCAAGTTCGAGGCCAGTCTCAGCAACTTATGGGGCCCTAAGCAACTTAGGGAGACTCTGTCTCAAACAAAACAAAACGAAAAACGAAGTTATTCAAACCTTTGACTCAATGTTCAGGACCTCAGGACCCCTCTAAACTCTTTAATGATTTCTTTATAAAAATAGGAAAGAAAAAAAATTCTTTCCTTCACACTTGTCTTCAGCACAAAAATTTCCCAGTCTTCACCCTGTGATTGACTTGAGCTTTTATGTACCTCACTGCGCAAGCCTGGCCCTTCTCCGCTGGTTTCTTTCTATACCCCATCCTCCTCCTCTGCCTCCCCTTACCCCCGTGGTGTTCTGAATCTCAGATTCCTGAATCCAGAGGCATCCGGTGTCCAGGTTCCTCTGCTCCGACCCAGTTGGCACTCTGAAGCCAGGAAACGCTCCTGGGAGGTGATGAGGACCATAACCAGAGGAGAAAGAGCCCCAGGACCTAGAGTCGAGCACGCCATCAGGTCCCTCGCAGTTTGCAGAAAGCATCATCCCTGCGGCAAAGGCTTCCATCCTCACAGGTCGCGGCCAACCCACGCGCACCCCTGTGTCACATTTTAAATCGTAAAATAAACGAAGATCAGATTACGGAGAATTCACAGAATACAGACCGAACCCGCACGCCAGGGTCCGGACCGCGACCTGTCACTGGCCCGGCTCCTGCTCCCCGGCCCCCGGTCCCTGCTCCCCGAGCCCCGGCCCCCGCTCCCCGCGCCAGCGCCCGCGCCGCGCCCCGCACCTTTGCAGCGCCGACTCGCGCGGGGGGCGCGGGGGGCGCGGGGGGAGGCGCCGTCGCCATGGTGACGCGAGGCCGCGCCGGCGAGCGGTGAGTGGGGCCGGCGGGCCGCTAGCCGGGGGTCGCGGCGGGGTGGCGGGCATCGTCTCGGGGCTGCCCGGGCCGGGCCGGTGGCCTCTGCGCGGCCCGGGCTCCGCGCCCCCCGCCCCGCGCGGCCGTGGCCACCCGCACCCCGCAGCCGCGGCCCCTCGCGCAGGACCCCTGGTTGGCGGCGGGCCTGCGTCAACGCCTGGGCGCGCAGAGCGGGGCGCACGGCCTCCTGGAGCCGCGGCTCGGGGTCCGGGGAGACCACAACGGGAGACTTTTTCTATTTCTTTTTTTAAAGAAAGAATTCAATTGTCTTGAACGACCCTTCGGGGTCTATAACTTCAGACCGCCCGTCGCCTCCTGCCCCTTTGTTTTTGCCGAGCCCCGGATTCCTCCCTCCACTTCGCAGCCCCTCTCCGGGGAGGCGCGCCGGGACCTCTCCACCCGGCTGGTGTGGAAGTCCGTCCTCTTCTCCCTCCATCGCGCTTGGCTTTCCGTCCCGCGTCTGCGGTCGCTGCTCATGTACTGGAGTCTTCCCTAGAGACTGTGAAGGCCTGACCTCTGTGATTTCCTATTGTGGGGCCTCAGCAGTCTCAAAAGGCTGCAGAGCGTGTAGGTGGAAGGAAAAGGTGCTGCACTTGCTGCCCCCCAGGCAGTCATTGAGGCCCAGCGTTGTTGCCTCATTTCAGAAAAGTTGCCTCATTAATAATCAGGATTAAGATTTGCCGTTATGCCTTTGTAGTTCCTTCTCTGTCCCCTCCAATGCTCATATTCTCTATGAAACCTGTTATATGTAGCAGGGTTGCAATTTTGTTACATATTATTTCTTGGGTGGGCAAAGAAATTTACTTTTGTCTATTACTCCTCTAGTTTCTTATTCAGTATTTGGACAGAAAGAATTTAAATGTCCAATTGGTTTTAAAGTTTAGCTCAATCTAAACTGGTGTTTAATTTCTTAGGTTCAAATGCTTAGGTTCTTAGATAACGTCTCTGATCCTCCTTGAGATGGTGCTCTGGGTATATATATGGGTGCTGGAGAAGTGGCAGCCATATGCCGTCTCTGGGGCCGCTCTCTTAGTCAGTTGGTGTTTCTTGCCTTGATGGTGCTCTTGGTTAGATACAACCTGTGGTTCATTGGTGGCTCTCAGGCTGCACCAAGCTACTGCTGTGACTCCCTTCAGCCCTGGTTGGAGTATTTTCTACACAGCCTTCCCTCAAACATTTTGGTCTCGGGACTCCACTATACTCTTAAATATTAGTGATCTCTAAGAGCTTTCCTTTTGTGGGTTCTATCTATCATCAATATTAGAGATATAGTACAAATTAGAAATTGAACTGAGAATCTTAGAAATTATTCTTTTAAAAACAATAAATAAACTCATATGATAACATAAATTGTGCATTTCTCACAAAAAAAATGACTTCTAAAAAATTTAACAAGAAAGTGGCATTGTTTTACACAAGTGCAGATGTCTTAAATTCCTGGTCTCATAGAGCACAGGGTTTTCTTTTTGCTTCTCTAGTCATTTGTTGCAATATGTTGCTTTAGTTGAAATATATAAGGAAAATTCCTTCTCATATGATATAGTTGGAAAAAGGAACATTTAAATAGTATTTTCAGATAATTGTGCATGTTCTTCATTTGATTGCACAGAAACTTGAAAAGTGGTAGTTTATTAAAGCTAGTTGCAATGTGGAATCTGAAGCTCTAGCAATGAGATTTTCATACTGTGTTTCATTAAAACCTATTTCTCTGTCTTTGTGTTTTAAGCCATGAGGTCTGGCTAGGTTGCCTGGGCTCATAAGATCCTCCTGCATCAGCCTCCCTAGTAGTTGGGACTATAGGTGTGTACCACCATTCCTGGCTTGGCTTATACTGGATTTTTACCTGTTCCTGATTTTGTGACATCATGGAAAATGGTGAAGAGTAAATCAGATTTGATAAAATAATGGTTTACTTAGTTATATCAGTTTTCCAAATGTTAGCATATGTCATGCTATAATATTTTTTAAAAACCACTTTCATTAGTATCACCACTAATCACAGAACAATATTGGGGAACTGTTATGGTCACACTAGCCAATACATAGCCAATACAAGTTTTTTTGTATTAGTTGATGTTTTCCAGAACCAATACAATGTGTGTGTGTGTGTGTGTGTGTGTGTGAATAAATAAAAAAGATTTATTAATCCCCAAATCAAAAATTTGAAATGCTTCAAAATCCAGTAAAGCCTATGCAAATATTTCAAAATACAAAAAAAAAAAAAAAAAAAAAGAAGAAGAAGAAAAAAGAAAAGAAAAAAAAAAGGGACATTCTTCTGGTCCTAAGGGGTTGACCATAGACTGCAGTGGGTTGAGGGTTGTCCCTGGTCCAGTGGTCTTGAATCCCTGGGGATCCCAAGGCATTTTCAGGAAGTCCACCAGTACAACTTTTTTCATAAGAAGTGTTCACCAGTGAGACATTTCCAGCCTTTGCACATCACTCACGTGTGTATGTGGCTCTCCAAGGGTGATGGATGTCCAGTAGCATTACAGCACCGCCCGTCTCAGTCTCAGTGCAGAGCAGACTTGGTGATCCGCGTCTTCTACTAAGCCCAATGTTAAGGAGATTTGCAAAACTGTAAAATGGTGCGGCTCTGCTCACTGCTCTATTTGCTTTGGAAAATATAGTTGCTTTTTATAAACTATATATTTTTATGTTTACATAAAATTGTTTTAGGATGAATTAATAAGTACTTAAGGATTTTTCAGTTTTTACTTCTAACATGGTAAATATCGATAAATATAACCCACATAAACAAAAATTCCTTGGGGGTTCTCAATTTTTAAGACTGTTTAAAGCCCTGAGATCAAACAATTTGAGAACCACTTGTCCTGATCTTGTTGGTTCTGGGCTGATACGGAGATTGAGCTCTATTGAAGGGTATACCAAAAGGAGCTTTGAGTCTTTTTGTCTGAAGAAAAGTATTGGGAATTGCAAACCTTACTTTTAATAATTACCAAATACAGCCAGGTGTGGTGGAGCATGCCTGTAATCTCAGTGACTTGGGAGATTGAGACAGGAGGATCACAAGTTTGAGGCCAGCCTCAGCAATTTAGTGAGACCTCATCTTGCCCTGGGTTCGGTCTCCAGTACCATCTGGGAGGGAGGAAATTACTGAACATAAATACTTATCAAGAATTGTCCTACGTCTAGAAGTGACAGAAAAGAGATATGAGGCTTCATTCCTGTCTCCAGCAATCTAAGTGGGTTGTCTTTACATACTTGAAACAACTTAAAAATAGTATAAGACCATATTTGATAAGTTGCGTGGTATAGACTCTATATAACAGCCTTTGGAGTGCAGAGGAGAGAGGCCAGGGTGTTTTAAGAGAGCAACCCAGGGAAGAAGGTGGTTTTATGGTTGGCCTAGATTGGATTTGGTTAGTTGGAATGGAAGAGATCAAAAGCTCTTCTAGGCCCAGTAGCAGGAGTGCCTCTGAGGTTCAAATAGAGTTTCTGGTGTCTTTATGGTCTCATGTCTGGGCCCTGGCTGGGCCAGCAAGGAAAGGCATTCCAGACACTTCCTGCCTGTCTTGTCAAAGGTTTGAAAATAGAGATCTGCTGCAGAAATGTTTTGGACGGTCACAGCTGCTATTAATAGTGTGACCAGATCATTTAATGTGTGGTAGTTACGGACATGTTGGAGAGTGGAGGTGGATGCCATTAAAAATTACCAGTATGTGGTACCGTCCTGGCTATGTTGTGACATTTGTCACTCAAGCTATTATCCTTAAGCACTGCTGTTAGTTTCCTTCCTATTGGTTTCTTAGGATATTCAAGACTAATTTTTTTCACACTGTGGATTGCAAACATTTACTAGATTAAGAAATCAATTTAGTAGGTGATACCCAGCCTTAAAAAAAAATAAAACCAACATTTCACATGTAGTAAAGAGAAATATTATTTTGTTTAAAATATGTATGTAAATATACTAATTCATGCAATGTACCCAGGGCAAAACAGTAATAGCTGATGAACAATAAGTTATTTGGAGCTGGGTGCAGTAGTGTACACGTGTAATCCCAGTGACTCAGGAGGCTGAGGAAGGAGGATCACAAGTTTGAAGCCAGTCTGAGCAATTTAGCAAGATCCTGAATCAAAATAAAAATAGAAAGGGCTAGAGATGTACCTCAGTGGTAGAGCACCCATGAACTCAATTCCCAGTACTAAGGAAAAAATAAAGCAAACCCCCCAAAGTGACTCCATTAATAGAAGTTACATATTTGCATGCATGATTAAAACAAATAATATATACTATATATCTAATAGAAATAATATAAGCAATGTAAAAATAACATATTTGTATTTGGACAGGATATTCACCTCATGGTCTAAATTAGTTGTGCAGGCTTCAGCCATCATGCCTATAATCCAGTGAGAAGGGATCATGCTCTCCTAGAAGTTACATCCTGCATATCTGCTTCCATATTATTGTCTACCACTTGCACCTATGACCACACCATGTTGTAAGAGAGACTGGGAGATAGTTCTATTCCACAACAAAGGCTGGTTTTAAAAAAGCCTGGTTACAAGAAAAGTAGGTGAAATTCTAATAGGTATGGAAAATGAAAAATCCCCAAAATAATGTGGTCTGAGAAAAAGGGAGTAAAATAGAAAGCCATGCACTGACAGCTTTCATCTCCCAAGACAGATGCTTTCCTGTGCTAATTGTAGGCAGGAAGGAGGTGTCTCATAGTAAAGTGATGGCCTCTGAGGGCACTGACCTTCCTTGGAGTAAATCCTCCCAGATTCGGAGCACAGACTCTGACCCAAGAGCTCAAATTCCTAAGCACTCAAACTGACCCCTTCACTGATAGATGAACAAACCCCAGACCCTGGGTGCCCACCAGACCACCCCTCAGGATAACCTGAGCTGATTGTGAGGTTTGCGTTCGTTACGGTCTCACGAATTCTATCCCTGAACAAGGGGGGATTACACCCTGGGAGGACAACCGGGAGTCTGAGTCTGAGTCCCATTCCAGGCGCTGCCCTTCACGGGGGTGGGGGGGCGGGAGGGCTGGAAATGAACAGGAACCAGGGCGCTCTGGAGGGTCAGAACACAGGAGCCAATCAAATATGGTCTTATCCTATTGATAAGTTGGTTCTAATGATCAGTTACATATCTCACTTCTCCCCAAGAGAGGCCCTTGTTTAGGCCAGTAGGCCTCTTCAGACTTCTCTGTCAATCTTTTCCCAAGGAACTCAGCTCACTTTGATCTTTGACCTCTGCTATATCACACATTAGCATTTTAGTATACACTTAATGAATTTACTCATTATAGATGCACAATAAGCTTTATTGGTTGGATAGCCAAAATATCCAATTTTATAATTGTTTTCAAGTGATTAAGTATTTTCACCCCATTTTCTAATTGATTAAATAAGTGAATAAATAAATACTGATGGGTTTGGAATCTCTATTCCTTATCATTACCATTTTTTTGTTTAGGTATTTTTGGAGTTAATGGAGCCAGAAGGACACTTAGAGCCAGAGAGTTCAGAAAAATCTGTCTTCTCACAGCCAGAAGAAGATGAAGAATCCCAACAATCAAAGGCAGCGAGCCTTGAGAACCCTCTCCTGCGGCCTCTTCTCACAGGGGACATAGAAGGCTTGCGTAGGATTTTCGAGGACCCTGAAGATCCTCATCATGACCATGCCATGGAGCTACTCTTGGAAGAAGACATCGTTGGGAGAAATCTGTTGTACGCAGCTTGCATGGCTGGGCAAAATGACGTCATTAGAGCCTTGGCAAAGTATGGTGTGAATCTGAACGAGAAAACCACTGGAGGTATTTTGTCTTTTCTCTCTCGTCAGTATTCCTTATGACTACCTAAAGATGCCAGGTACTGTCTTTAAGGTTAGATAATTTCGATGGGCCTGATGTATACTTTACATATATGCATGCAGGTATGTGAACATGTGAATGGTGTATACCTGTAAATATATCGGTGTTGATATCGTGTTGCATAGTATTTTAAGAACACAGACTTCACTATTTATTATCTCTGTGGCTTAGCAAATTACCTAAGCTTTTTAATTTCTATTTCTTCATCTCAGAAATTAGGATAATAGTTGTATTTTTCTTATAGGGTGTTCTGAAGATTTAACTTAGCTAATAAATACAAAAATATCACTGTGCGTGGCCCATAGTGAAATGATATATTGTAAATGCCCAATAGTATTACTGTTTTCTCTTTGAAAATTTATTAACTTTTAGCAGTCATTATTGGATTATCTCTTTTAATTCAGTAATTTTTTTTCTGATAACAAATATGATACATGGTCTTGGTGGAAAATGAAAGAAAACAATCATCTCCAGTGAATAAGGATTATATATTCTCTCCCCACTCACGTGGAACATTGAAAAAACTGATCATATGTTGAGTCATAAGGGACATCTCAGCAGTATCACAAAATCTATAGCATGCAGTCTGTGGTCTCTGGCCATCGCAAAATAAACTTAGAAAATGTAACAAAAGATAACCATAATTTTGGAAACAAACACTTTAAATAACCTGTTGGTCACGGAAGATATCATGGAAATTAAGAAATCTTTAAGTGACGATAGGATCACTATGTATTAAAATTCTAGTTGAATGCATATATTAAACTGTAGGAAACAGTTAAGATCAATAAGAAAAGCATCTAACTCAAGAAGTTAGAAGGAAAAAAAAAATCAACCCTGAGGGCCGGGGAGGGGCTCAGTGGTGGATCACTGGCCTGGCATGCAGAGGCCCTGGGCCCAGTCCCCAGCACAAAGACCAAGTGAGTAACCAAAGGAAATGAAAGGAACAAAGCAGTAGGGGGAATAATGACACTGGAAATAAGGAGCCAAAATCTGGCTCAGCGATAATATCGATCAAGCAAGATAGAGAGAACACAATTTGTATTTGGAATTGAAAACATGGAATATGAACAGATAAAAGCCTAAGATTAAAAAAATAATTAGAAACTATTATAACCAACTTTGTGACAATGCACTTGAAAACTTGGATGAAATGGATATATTTCCAAAAACATTAATTATCAAAATTGATTCAAGGAAAAAATAGAATTCTTGACTAGATCAATGGTTATTAAAGAAATTGAATAAGCAATCCAAATCTGTCTCTTTTGCCCTTATGTCACCACCAAATTCCAAATGTAAAGGTAAGATCTACTAATTTTCTTTTTTTGTACCAGGGATTGAACCCAGGGGTCTTAATCACTGAGCCGGATTCCCAGCCCTTTTTTTACATTTTATTTTGAGACAGGGTCTTGCTAAGTTGCTTAGGGCCTCGATAATTACTGAGGCTGGCTTTGAACTTGCATACTCCTGGCTCAGCCTCCTGAGCTGTGGGATGACAGGTGTATGTTACCATGCGTGGCTTATTGTAAACCTTTGTGGTTTTGTGTAGTGATAAAAGGTTTGAGTCCTCTCTCTTGTCATTTGGATGTTTTCCCTGTCAATGAGCTTTGTATTTTCACTTGTTTTCATGATGGGATGGAACACTCCTTAAGAATTTCTTATAAGGCCAGTTTAGTGGTGATGAATTCGTTCAATTTCTGCTTCTCTGATAAAGATGTTCTTTTTCCGTTTCTGAAGGATAGCTTTGCTGGGTATAGAATTCTTGGCTGGCAGTTTTTCTTCTTTCAGGGCTCTGAATATATCGTTCCATTCTCTCCTGTGCTGCCAGGTTCCTACTAAAAAGTCTGCTGTTAGTCTAACGGGAATTCCCTTGTAAGTGACTGTTTTCTCTTTCTGACTTTAGCTTTTAACAGCTTAATTATCATGTGATAATTACCATTACCTTTTGGGTTGAGTTTAATGGGGGTTTCTTTGCTTCATGGATCTGTCTTGGGAAGTGTTAAACTACTCTTTCTTTCTTTTTCAGCTACCATTTCTTTCCATGCACTTTTTATGCCTTTCTTTGTCTCTCCTGCCTCAGGCCACCATCTTGTGGATTGGTTCCTTTATTGGTATCTCATAGATTCTGTGAGCTTTCCTCACTCTTTTTCGTTCTTTATTCCTTCTTCTAAATTTTTCATCAAAATACTTGACTTCAAGTTCAAGAAATTATTTCTGCTTCATCTGATCTGTTTTTATTTTTTTTTTTTTGCTTTCAGTTGTATATATATATTTTTTCATTTCATTCATTGACTGTCCCAGATGCAAAATATCTGCTTGGTTCTTTTTTTATATTTATCTTTTTGTTGAACTTTTAATTCAGATCATGAGTTTCTTTCTGATTTTATTGAATTTTTTGTCTGTATGATCTTATATTTTCTGAACTTCCTTAAGATTACTATTTTGAATTCCCTCTTGGGCACTTTATAAATTTCCTTTTCTTTGGACTCTGTTGCTGGAGAATTAGTATGTCCTTGGCGGTGGTACTTTCCTTGCTTTTCTATGTTTCTTCTGTCTCTCACAATGGTATCTACACGTCTAGTGCAATAGTTCCTTTTTCCAGTTTAATGGATGATTTTGTCTTTTCCCCCATAGGGAGAGGCCTTTTCTTGTGAACAGAGGGTAGGGTGTATCAGCTTTGATTGTGGATGGACCCATGGCATGGATTCGTTCAGCTGCAGTCCTGGTAGTGATGTCTGCAGTAGCATCAGTGGCCTGTGCTGTGAGTGTTTGTAACCAGGGTGGTATGACACTGTATTTTGTGGGGGAGATTTGGTACGGGGCTGGCTGCTGGGCCGTTTGTGGGTGTTTGCAAATGCCGCGGGCTGTTGGCTTTATGGTGGGTGTGCTGCTGTCCACCTTGCTGCCAGGCTGGGTTTGGAGATGCAGGGCCACTGCAGTTTAGCTAACCTGTTTGGCTAAATGGTGGACTGGATTCTTGTATGCACAGGTGCTGCACCTTGGCTGGCTGTGTTGACAGGCTCCTTGGTGTGACAGGGCTGACTTTTGGCTGGCTGTTGCATTGAGTGTGGGTGCACATGGGCCACCAGCCATGTTAGTTTCACCTTTGTGCAAATCTGCCAATTCTCTGGGGTTTGGGGTATAATGTGGGTTTGAAAATCTGGGTCTTGGTCTTTCTCCCAGGCCTGTGCTTTGGCTGGGTCATGGTGCTGTGGCTGTGTACTCGGGAGAATGACAGCCAAGTCTTGGGAATGGAGATACACTGTGGACACTAACCTCTAAGACAGGGTATACTCTAGAAGTAGGTTGAGTTTCAGGATGGTGCCAACCATAGCAGCTTAGCTCATGCAGGGTGTCGGAGGCATTTACAATGTGGGCTCCCTTTGTGGCAATACATCCATGTGAACTCTGGGAAGTTCTCCAAACTGTATTTGGGGCCTGTGGGGGCTGAGGAGTCTCCTGTGTGATCATCTGCTGCAGCAACAGGGACTGTTGGGGGTCTCTAGCTTGAAGTCCATCTTGGCCAAGTCAATCCAGAATTCAGACAGGAGAGGAGAGACGGGGTGTCTTGCTCTCCTCTCTATGGTGTTCCCTTGGGTTTTGCATCCCACAGGGATCCTGCCACTTCCTAGCTATTCTCTAGTGAACTTCCTCGGTCCCTCTGGCCAGAATATACATGTTTATCTTTGTTGTGGTCTTTTTTGTGGCAGTGGATGAGTGATAGGCTATTCTGTTCAGCCATCCTGCTAATATCACTCTCCATTTTTTTCTATTTATGAACATAATGTTCATTATTTGTTTAATTTTTATGTCACTTTGAAGTGCTACTCAGCATAAGAAAAATATTTCAAGGGAAAGAAATTAAAATTGAGAACATTTATACTATTATAGTTTCTGTGAATTAAGGAAAGACTGTGGTTATTTAGGGATAGCAGTGGAATACACTCAACCAGAATCTAGAGTGCTAGAGCTCTGTTGGGGCATAAGAAACCATCCTCCAGAATTAAAAGACTTTGGGGTGAAGACTGCAGTGTATGGGTCTCTGTAAAGTGAGAAGATATGTGCCGTTTATTTGTGGATGGTACTCAGAAATGAAAGAAGGAAAATCATTTTCAAGATTAGCGATGAATCATGTTTGCATTAGGATATCCTTTCCTTTAGATATTAATTTTGGAGAGTTGGATGTTTTGATCCAGAGAGAGGAATATGAAACTGTTTTTGGTCTCAGCTCTGTGTATTGCCAGCTTTCAGCCTATTTGGAAGTGGCTTGTTTTGTGACTGAGCCGAGGACGGGCCCTCACATCACTCAGTTCGTTGACATGGAGCTCTGTCTGGTCCTGGCGAGGCTTTGGTCACCAAATCCAAACCCATTGCCATTTGGTGAGTTTGTGGTTGGGCAAGAAACAGAAATGTAAACAAATGACGACACATGGTAGGATAAGGGCCAGCGGTATTTCAGGGCCGAGATTAGCCAGCTTTACCTGGGAGCGTTGGGAACGTTCGGGGAAGGTTTCATAGAGGGGAAATGTTTATGTTGAATCTTGAAGAAGGTCTAAGAGTTTACCTAGCATTGAAGGAGAGGGGAGAGATGGGGCAGGGCAAGCAGCAGCGATCGCATGATCAGGTACTAGCATTCCAGTATTTCTGCTATTCTGGAATGCTCACCTACCATTTTTAAAAATATTTACTTTTTTTAGTTGTAGTTGGAAAGAATATCTTTATTTTATTTTTTATATATTTTCATGTGGTGCTGAGAATTGAACCCAGGGCCTCACACATGCTAGGGGAGCACTCTGCAGCTGATCCATAACCCCAGCCCCTCACCTACCATTTTAAGAAACCAAAATAGTGGTCTCTAAGAAAACAGATATGATCGTATTATTGATTGATTTATTTCAATTCTCAGATAAAATATATATATTTATCATGTACAACATGAG